CTCTAGGATCTATACCACCTATGTATATATATTTTTGTTGACAACAAGTACATGTAGCAATTGTTTGAAACTTTGTAGACCAGTAAAAAGTGGTCCCTTGCAATCAAAAAAAAAATTCAAATTGATTGACTATAGCCATTTTTGCAACACATATTTTGAATTGTATTAATAATGCAAGTCAAATTTAGACACCGCCATTTAGGGTTAAGTGTGTGGATTGTTCTCTGAAGTGGATACATCATAGTAGTCAAAAGAAGTCAAAAGCAAATGTGTCTAAATTTGTACACTAAAAGGAATAGATAGATAGCCAAAATACAAAATTTTAAAGTAAATTTAATTATGGGAAATATGAAGATAACGAGCAGTATTCAATCTCGAAAGTCCAATGAAAGGATAAGAATTAGGAGCAGAGCAAACACGGACCTCAAAATTTAAAGGTGGGATCAGGTGCCATGGAGGAGTGAGCATCCCCTGCCGACCGGTCACACCCGCCGTGTTCTCCTTGACCTGATCGGGAAACAAAAACCGGAAACAACCCTTTCATGATTGAAACCGCCACCTAAATAAAATTTTTGCATTCTCGCGAAATTTTATTGATTATTTATATCAAAAATAGTTTTACTGGAGGTTGGGTTTATTAGTTAATAGTTCTACTGTTTTTAATAATAAATTTGTAGAGAGGTTCATTTTTCTTGACTCAAATGAATCAGACTCTTCTTTTCTTTATAAAGCGCAAAACTTTTTTCACCTATCATGCTTTTGTGAACTAATTTAATGCACATTTTAAAAAAAAAATTATAAAAGTTTCCACAATATGATTGGAATTTTCTTTTCTTTTTTTAGTATTTAGTTGCTCCCTTTTTTGCACAAAAGTTTTCACAGAACGTTTTTGAAACTAAGTACGATTCCCACTGACGTGTCTTTCACCTGTTTTTTTTTTTTTTTTTTTTTTTTTTTTTTTTTTTTTTTTTTTTTTTTTTTTTTTTTTTTTTTTGTTTTGTTTTGTTTTTTTTTTTTTTTTTGTTGTTTCTTTTCTCTAGTAGTTGACATGTTTTCACCAAAGTCTTTCTTATTGCAACGTATATTTTGCCTTAAATGTTAAGATAGAGTTTTAATCGGGATTGCTTCCAGACTGCATCGGTGTAGAAATCTGATGCATTTGAGAAGCTCTCTTGTGTTTATCAGGGGATGTTGAAAGCTGTTAGTACCATGTGTACTTGTTTAGTACTTGAGCAGCAAGAAATAATTAAAAAGCAGAAGAGAGGTTCTCAGACGAAATGTACACTTCCGCTGCCCTGGAAAAGTTCTGTTTAAACCCAAATGAAAGCAATTTAGTTGAAATAAAAAAGACGGGACCTTTTTCATAACATGCTAACAACTTGTAAATTAAAAAAATATGCGGAAAGGACTCTTGGGAGAACGGTGATCAATATCAAAAAAGAAAAAAAAGAAGAAAGTTCTATAATACTGAAATTGAGTTCAAATTAAGCCTTAATACATTAAGGCTTTTATTCCTTCAAAAAAAGAGGAACAACTGAGTACAGCAAGAACATTATTGATCAAGAATATCAGATTTTAAATAAAATTGCTCTTAAATTTAAGAGCATTGTATCTATTTCCAAAATGTGCATTTATTTAGTTCACAAAAGTATGTTCGCTTAAATTGTTTTTGAGCGAGCTTTTTTATGTTATATGCAATTAAATTCCCTTTCAAATCTTTAAAAAATAATATAAAAAAAAGAAGTAATAATTAAATGTTAAAAGGATACGGTTTATTATGTACAGCTATCAAGATAATGAAATATGAAACACAGTATAAAATGCAAAAATATGAATATATGTCTAAATGTAAGGTGGAAATATTACCGACATGTCAATACATGTATTCAAAATAATGTAAAGGGTGTATATTTTTTCTTCAAGAGTTTGAGAATGCGTTACTTCTTATGGTCTGATTAAATTTATAATTGCTGCACACATGTATGAGGGGTTATCAAAAAGTTCGCGAACTATCTCTATATTTACAAAACCACCATTCAGATCAGAATGAAATTTTGCACACATATAGTCATACAGATGTTCTGTAAATAACAGATGTTAAGTAATGTTTTGCTCAGTGTTTGTGACGTCACGATGTGAAAATGACGTCAATATGTAGGTCACTTGTGACAAAAAATGGTTGATTCAGTCGTACTCGAGCAACGAACGGCTGTAAAGTTTAATGTATATCTTGGAAATTCCTTTGCAGTAGAGTATGATAATTTGTACAAGGTTTATGAAGACAAAAGACTTACCAGCAGTTCAATCATTAATTGGATCGATTGTTTTAGTGAAGGCAGGGAGATGGTTAAAAATGATATTAAATTTTGTTCCGTTGCCCAGCGAAAGCAAGCCGGGGAAAAGATGTATCCTTCGTTGTGCAATTTGTTATGAAACATCGTCAAGTTACAATTAGAAAAATAGTTTAATATCATAACAATGGACTTTTGCGAGAAGCACTGACTTTTACAGTTGACGGCTTACTTTGACATTTAAACTTGCGTTATGTACGGAGGTACGGAATTAATAATAAATAAGAAAACCTAAATAGTGGTTAGAGTTATGGCACAAGGGGCACTTACATTATTCACCAACACAAGAAATGATTGGAGGTAAAATAACATTATTTAAATTACCTTATTCATCAGAGATACTATCTTCTTTTATTCTCATTTTCTGAAGGAATCAAATAAAAAAGCAAAGACATTCTGGAAGAAAAACTTGGCAGAAGTTGGTAAGGTCGGAAAGGAGGGGGTTGAAAGTAGGATTGTTGCCGTTCCCTTCCTCAACAACGTAATATGTGCTTTGAAATGGCCGTTATTATCGTTTTATTAACTATTAAACTAAATATTTATACCGCAAAAGAGCTTCCGTATATTTTCCTGGTGTAAAAGTAAGCCGTCGATTGTAAAAGTCAGCGCTTCTCGCAAAAGTCCAATAATATAATTATTAAATTGTTAAAATATCTTTTACTTTAGACTTTAAAAATATGAGATATGATAAAAAGAAGGCGCCCATACTTTATCCACATTGGATAAACGACGCTCCCGAGACAGAGGACTCGGGTTGTGAAGGGTCACCATACTAATTGTGGGAAGGGATATCCTTATCCACCCATCCTATTGCCGAGATTTGGCCATTTCTGACAGATGGACTGTTCTTGTTATAAAAAATAACTTGCATGGTAAGAATTATAGAACTCGGGAAAATGGTTTAGCTTCTGCTAAACTGCTGCAGACTGCTACGGAGCGTGTCACGTGACTGTCTGGATCACGTGATTCGCGCATGGGCAGAACAATGGCAGATGTGCATTAAAATCGGAGAGGACTACTTTAAAAAATAATAAACACTGAAACCTCATTTTATTTCTTTTAAGGAAGTAATTCAATAAGTTTGCGAACTTTTTGATCACCCCTCGTATTACTATTTGCCATGAAGTTGTTGTAAATAGTGAATGGCAGAAGAAAATCCTGAATATATAAAAAGTAACCATTTATAATACAAATGTATAGTTCTGTGAATCATTAAAATCTATGCCAATAAATCCAAGTAAAATGAATGAAAAAAATAATTATAAATTCTAATTTCTAATTTCATCAGTATACCCACTAACCTTGTGAATAAAAATATTTACAATATGTCATGATGAGCTCCTTTTGGGAATCTATATAGAAATTTGAATACTAGTAGTCGTTCATGGGTATCTGGTAGAGACAATTTTGTCAGAGGGACCTGTCGTAACCGAAATATGAACATGATTAGAATTGTCTAAATGATAATTAAGAAACAGTATTCTACCCTGTCCATTTATCTTGTAAGGACAATGCCTGCCTCTGCAATTTACTTTGATGATTGGTATACAAAAACTTCCAATACATACATTCGGATACTTCCATCAATGATACTACACAATAACTTTGTAATATGAGCTCATTGTATAGTTACCGAATTCAAAATGTAAAAGCTTTTAATACTTTAATAGCAAAGGATTAACAATTGAGTGTTATCACTGATATAAAATGAACAAAAGGAATATAGAAGGCACAAAAAATCACAATACAAGGATACTTTATAACATTTCAAAATATATTTGAATATTATGAAACTTACATATCATATATTTAAACGCAAGGGCATGCATGTGTCCTTTAGATTTCTCCCATTTTTAATTTTCGTATATATCCTCGTGTAGTGTATCATATAAATGTATTTTAAATGTCAAATCATTTTGTTGTAAAGCAAGGAAGTTGTAAATATTTTAGAATCAACGAATAAGAGTCAAGAGAACGTACATTAGCCTTCATGTTATTACAAAAACATCATCTTGTCTAGACACCTATATATTTGTTTATAAATTAATTTTGATAGCAGTTCATAAAATATAGCTAAAGATATCTTAATTAAAAATGTCATTTTACTCATTGCATGTGCGTTCAAACATTTACACAACATGTGAATGAATAATTTTCAGAGAAAACTCGCAGACAATACAAAATTTATGGGAAGAAAGAAGAAACCAAATAAACAGTTTTTCTCAAAACTGGGGGGATAAGATTAAAAATCTAATTCCTTCAGGTATACATTGTAATTTATAAATTAAAATTGAGATTTAAATCCTATTTTAAATATATTAAGTATCTTATCCTTTATTTCCCGTTAAAAAGCGGGGGTAAAACATCCAACTTCGGAGGAGTTTGCACATATTCAAGGCGCATTTGATTTTTTTTATTTAAATGAAACGTTATAAGTAATTTTTCCACAAAAATTAATCAGAAAGAAAAAATGTAGGAAGACGGCTAAAGCTCCCCTATAAAACAAGCACTTAAAGATACTATCAGCTTACGTTTCCTTAGAACATTTATAGAGATTAAGGGGCATCATAAAAGGTAAACCCTCATTCAATTCTGAACCCATTGTTCGATACTTGGAAAGTTATGAAGGCGTTTCTTAGTCCACTTTCTTTCAGATCATGCCTTCTGATACAAAAGCAAGACATTCTTTTTGACCTCTTATATTGTTTATAATTGATAATATATCCCACGAATCATTTCTTGATGATCCTATCCTTTACAATGACTTTATACTCAGATGGAAGTTCTGTGCCAAATCCTAGTTGCTTGTATTCAGGATTTGCTTTCTCGCCATCTGGGAGACGGACTTCAAATCGCTGCAGCAGGTTTGCACACATCAACAGCATTTCAGGTTTGGCGACCGTTTCTCCCAAACAAACTCGGCTGCCAGCTGAGAACGGAAGCCAACTATCGGGTCTGGCAGGTTTCTTTTTCCCATTTTCATCAAGGTAACGATATGGGTCAAATTTTTCTGGGTCTTTAAAGAACTTTGGGTCATTGTGAAGAGCCCAGTGGTTAATAAAGATCGTGATGCCTTTTGGAATGTCATATCCCCCTGTTCGTGAAAGTAATTGTATTTTTTTAACAATTTTAACATTTTAGGGTCTTATAAAAAGAAAATATATAGTGAACAATAATTGTATCATTTTGATTAGAAGACACTAGTTCTGAGTGAAAATCTTTAAAAATTATTATACAATACAATAAAACATTATTATACAATACAGACCGACTTGTGAATCACAAATGGCCATGTGTGGGACACCAAGTCCTGCAACACTTCCAAGTCTCATACTTTCAAACAAGCAAGCTTCCGTGTAGTCCAATTTTTTACGGTCTCTCATTGATGGGTGTCTTGCTCCTTCGAAAATTTCAAATATCGATGCAGCTATTAATTTGCAAGTTCTTGTGATATTGTATTTTACTTGTGAAAGCCAAATAAAATGTGTTCTATAAGTGTTATTTGTTTTTTTAATATATATATGTATATATTTTCACTTAATGTATGTTACTCTAGAAATTTAAATTACCAATGACCCTGTCAATTTCCTCCTGGCATTTGGTTTGTATTTCCGGGAATCTGGTCATGAAATATACAAACCAGTCCATTGTAAATCTGGTAGTATCTACACCAGCTGTTAAAAATGTTCGTCATAATCAGTAGTTATCGTATAGTTTCTAAATGGAATGTCCAAAAAGTAAAGAAAATACATTTAGGATTTTTCTTTGAAAATTTTAGGGAAAAAATAAGAAAATAAAACGAAATAATGATAATGCTATAAAAAAAATACAATGTTCGTAAAATATTTTACTTGCTTATTTGTTGGCTTTTCAATTTTAAAAAATCAATATTTAAACAAATGGTGTAACATGATGATAAGCCAGTTCCACTGCTTAGACTAGAGAAATAGAAGTATCCCCCCTCGTATTTCTTAAAAAATATGCCATGGAATTCAAATGTAACCGAAACACACTTCTTACCTAAAAATATATCTGATATGGTTTGAATTAAACGTGTATCGTCCAACTTCTCCAGGGCGGATTCGTCTCCCTCATTCTTTGCCTCTTCTTTTGCCGCCAACAAACTGTCAATAAAATCTCTATTGACACCTTCAAAAGATTGAGAAATATTATTGATACATGTATCCAAGTGTATGATTCGTTAAAAATTTAAGAGTACATTTATACACTGTATAAATAATTGTACAGCAAATAAATTCTATACAAATTTTTCTATTCAAATTTTTGCATGAAATTGAATTGATATTTATTCTCATTTTTATTAAGAAAATATTGTCAGCTTGTGATAAAAGTTGATTACCTGGTTTATATGTATCTACGTGGTCTCTGTATTTGGTGCTTATCAATTTTGTTAGTTGGTCTGCCAGTTTTAGAAAATTCCTCCACTTTGCAGTAGGGCAGATGTTTTTCAGACACGGTATTAAATCTTCCACGAAGCCAGTACCAAAATCCTCAATCAGGTTTTCTTCTAATTTAAGAAGTGTTTTTACTTCCGGGTCATCAATAGGAAGTCTGTTAAAAGATTTATTTTAATTTCAATTCATTTGAATAACAGAAATACATGTGATTCAAATCAAAAGGTTTTACACGTTTGAAATCTGTTTGCTCATATAGGTGTCACTGATGTACGAAATTCACTAAAGAATAGAACTTGTCTCCTAAACCTACTTCTGCCCAAAACAAATAGTGTACAGTTGGTGGAATACCATCATATCTGCGTAGTCTTTAAATATGAATGGACCTTTTTCCTGTGCCATTTTATTTAGGAATTTCTCCATGTTGTCTTGTATCATATTTTCAAGAAGATCCCCTTGTAAATAATTCCTGAATTAAAACGATTTTTATATCTGTCACATTTTTGCAAGGATATTGTGATTTAAAATGTTACTCAGAAATATTGATATATTTTCTTTTCAATCAAAATCTTTCATCTAATGACATAAAAAGTATTCAAAGAATCTTTCGAGTACGGAAATGTTTTTAACATAAACAATGACAATTGTCAAAAATGTCTTCTCTTTTTCCTTAACTTTGAAAATGCATCTTATCCCCTATGAGCCGTCATCCATGTTATTTCTAAGCGAAATATCATTACAAACATTTTCCAAGTCCTTTCTTTTCTTGACAAAGGAACACACCTGAGAGCTTTTCCTGCTATTTTCCTGTGAAGTTTCCAAGTTGGCGAATAAGTACTAAACGCGATGTCTTTTCCTCCTGCAGTTATTGCATCAGCTAAAAAAACACACACACACACATATCTTAATACTGATTAATTAATTACTGTAATTACTTAATTAAATCATTATTAATCAAATAATTAAATACTTAATTATTTTCTTTCGAAAAACTTCCTCTATTTTTTTAAAATTGTTACAACTATCATTCTGTATTGTGTTTGTATATTTAATTTAAAAATATGATTTATTCAGTGGTTAATTAATTAATAATATTACTTGATGCTGACTTTGGTCTTCCAGCAAAATCTGCCTTCTTTTTTACCAATGCCTCTATTACAACTTCATTAGTGTTTAGGAAAATCCAAGTTTGTGTACCTATTTTGAGACCAACATAAAAAGCCAATAAAGTTAAATCTAATCTGAGTCACATTGCTTTTTTCGACATCATGAGTTTTTACCAAACGATTTGTGTTTTATATCATCTAGCTATACCTCAGAAGAACAGGAAACAAAAGTCGGTTTACTCAACATTTGTTTTAAATTGTTGCAGGAAGTAACTAAACCTCACCAAAAGACAGTCGTACAACAGGACCGTATACTTTTGACAACTCCGCAACTTTCTTGTGCATTTCAACAGAAGAGTAAACTGAAAATTCACAAAGATTACAAAATGTGGATACTAATTAATGATCTTGATGATATACATGTACAACCAATATTTATCAAATTTTATTTGTAGTGTTTTCATCATTTACATGCATAGGTTCATGAAAATTGTATTGCCAATAACAGCAAAAATGTGTATTTTTCATTTTATAACAAGTCTTGAATGAAAGAATTCGTTCTACACATTAGTGTTTTTATTGAGAATGAAACACGTTAGTGAACTATGCAAGAAAAAGTTCGACCCTCTGAAAACTGTCATACTTGTAATATACATAAAATTAAAACGTCCAGTTGCTTTGGTGTATTTTTTGTTAATCTGTTCTAGAATTAAAAAATGTTTTTTCTTTACTGCATTAGATAAATTCATGGTTTAAAAAAAATAAAATAAAATTCAAAATAATATTGAAATAATGCTTACTTTTATAATGGCCGATAAGTGGTATGCACCAAGGTCCTGGCGGCAGACGATATCGCATTCGTTTGATAAAGTAATATACAAAGAGACCTATACTCAGTGCTGCAAGCAAGGTTTGTGTGTTGACAGACAACTTAATCATGTTTCACTTTTTCTTTAATTTTGCCTATATAATGAATAAAGAGAAAACATTGAATTATAGCCAGTAAGACAATATCTATGAAGATTAGGCGATAGTTGCTTGAATTTATAGTATTAATGAGGGGTCATTAATGGCTATATTTATTTAGTAGTCTGTTGAATGCGGTAGACCTGTGAAAAACCTCAAAGTTTCAACCTATATCCTGCACTTAATTGGCACTTCTTGAAGCTGATCAAACGTAACAGGGCATGAAAAATATCAGCCTTGTAAAATGAATTAGGAATTCAATAGTTTTGTCTAAACGATTTTACAACATTGGATTATCGGATAAATCATCAATTTTTGTAAATAATAATCATATTTTTTTTATAATAGTCTCCATTTTTATTTCTAAAAATATTATGATTTATGCATTGAATACCGTTTCTCAAACCTTTGCAGAGGAATGTGAAGTAAAAAAAAGTAAGTATTTTTTAAACGCCTAGATCAGAAGGGGGCGTAATTTTGACTGCCCTTTGACAAATCATCCTTACACTATGCACTCCAAAATTATATGTAAGAAAATCACTCTCTAAATTTTTTTCTACAGTTATTCATTAGTTTAATTGTGGTTATTGTGTATATTCTTTTTACAATTCAAAGTTGAGAGTTGTGGTTTAATACACCTAAAACACACGTCAGGGCCAGAAGGATAACAGAAGTGTTCCACAGTTATAATTTGCACTTTGTCTTATCTTTAGTCCTCAACATATAAAGTATTAATTATATCTCCTTGTTTATACACATATATTTATATCACCTCTAGATGTTTTTTGGCATTTAGAAAAGCTTCTTTTATTTGATTTGATTTTTTATCTTCTTTTATTTGATTTATTTTGTTGCTGTAAGTTATATCAACTTTACAAAATATTGAAATGAAAATATTGATATAAGCTTGAAGTGTAGTTTTTCTTTTCATATGCTACAATCAAAATATATGCATAGGGATTAAATCGATATAAATATGTTGGTGTTTCTGTGGGAAAATCAGAAAATATTGTCATCGAATTTACTTCGCGGGGTAGGGGGGTTGAACTCTAATGAAACGTCACATCACTCGGGAGTATGTGCACAGTGTCAAATAACGATCATAGAAAACTAAACGAAGATGCTTTTAATCACGTCAAAACTCTTAAATATAATACAAAATATGTCTATATATTAGAAGATTTATGTATTAGTATATATTGATAAGACACTAAAAATAAGACAATGTACCATATATAACACAGTTAGTATTGACACCTCTACGCCTCAGTACATGGACACTCTAGGATTTAAACTGGTACTGGAATGACTAGGTCTCATTAACACGGCCAGTTAATTGATAAATAACAGATAAAGCAAAAGTAATACAAAATTATAATATTATATATTTGCTTTAAAAATTTTGTAGTGGATTTTTTTTTATTAAAGAGTACAAATAAAAGTATCCAATTCAAGTATTTTAAACCACGGAGGCTTCCGTATATTAAAGGTCTGCTACTTTTCGGTTGTATTATTCTACTGCACTAAGTAAAACGGTTGATACTTGATTTACAAATATAATCTGACTGATTCAAAAACTTACCAATTTGTCAAATCTTACAAACCGTAATGTTAGATTTCAAGTGATTTCTGATGCGTACGATTATTGTACTCTTATTTATATTGAACATGTTGAAATGTTGACAAACAGAGTGGTAAAGGTTTAAATCCAGTACTATCACCTTTCCATGATGATTGGTGTTTAACTTAGGGATAAGTGCATTTCAATTCACAATATAGAAAAAAAAATCAGTTTTGTGCTTCAACACTATATATACTCTTTAGAGAAATGGGTGTAGGGTTTGCCTTTCTTATTCTCTATAAAAGTTGAAATATATGATATGGCTAGCATTGAGCAAACTAGACATTAAATAAATTGGAGAATATTTAACTAAATTTAAACATTTGCATTTCTTATTTAAGAGTGAATTTGAGAACTCTACAGTGGAGGATCTAGAGAGGGACATCGGGGTTGTCCACAATCCCCTAGCTCTCCTTTTAATTTTGATTTTTAAAAGAAAAAAGAGATGAACCCCATTCATCATAATCAAGTGGTTCGAAAATTTCATTTAATCCAAAATAATGGAATTGAAAAATTAATGAAAATTTCAATATTTATTTTCTCCAAAATGGCTTAATCATAAGTAATAATGTATATAAAACACCCATATTTTAGTTGAATTATGAGAGATCAGGTCGTTAGAAAAAATATTTTAAAACTATAGTAGTTTTGATAGTTTTGACCTCTTCATGAAGGACATATTTGATACAAAAAAAAATGGATGCCCGGGCTGATATATTTTAGGACCTTTTTTGGTTGTAACTGGTACAAATATCAAATTTCTAAAATGAGAAATTGTTAACATTCTATGATTTTCAAAATTCCACTTTTTTTCCCGTCACCCTTATAAAATCTATACAACTTTTTATTACTTTTAGGACATTATTGCAAATGAAAAATTAAAATATATGCTGAAATTTGTGCTACTAAACTGATTTATTTTACTAACATTAGCATGGCTTTAGTTGTTATTTTTAAGTATTTTTAACATTTTTGCTATTTTGTTGCTAGACAGGAACTTCAATATATAAAATTGATACTCGTCACATTTCCTTGATATTCCTTATATTTAATTGTATATCTATCATGATTTAAATACAAAATCTGCATTAAAATAATCTGATGCAATATTTAAAAAAAATATATGAACTTTGAATAGAATTCCTGCCGTTCAAATTGCGGATCCGTAGGCTTCCGCCATGGCTCCCCACCAACGCTTTCATTTTCCCTCGACCCACTGAGAGCTTGAGCGAGGCCAAACCACTGTCTTATATTTTAATAAATATCACACTTTTGATGACTGTACTGAAAGTGATATTCACTTAAGCTTGTCATATTTTTCACGGGACATGTTTCTATCTGAACTAGAGTAAAAATCATGTTAATTTCTTTATTCCATAAAGGTTTATAATTTAATTTTTAATTTAAGCATTCAATTTAAGCATTCTCATCATAGTCCTGTACGTGTTGTTGTTTGTAAATGTTAGCATAAGCCCTGCCCCCCCCCCCCCTTACCACCCGTTTACAAAAATTCTAGATAATTGCCTTAGAAGTAAAGTTATTTATAAAGGGAATGAATACTCATTTAATGTTTTCAACTAAGGTCTATTTTTAGTGCATGTCAAAATACAGAATAGTAGCAGTGTTCTAGTTAACAAAAACGTCATTCAGTATCAAAATATACAAAGGAAATGCGTTGTACAAGTACACTACGAAAGCCCTGATGGGTCAAACTAAGAAAATTAAAAAAAAAAAACAGTCTAAAAACGAGATTCAAACTAACGAGATAAAATGTCGATAAAATGAAATAAAGACTGTGATTACGACTAAGGAGGTCGTAATAAAAAAAATTAAAAAATCGTTATTACGACTTATATATAAATTAGAATTTCGTCAGAGAATGAGATAAAACGTCTTCTAACGACATTTAGTAAAGTCATAATAACGAGACGAAAAGTCGAAACAAGTTAATTCAGAAAATTTGTGTTCCCCGCTTAGGGGGAGAAGAAGAGCATGCGCAGTTCGGCGGGGGGGGGGGGGGGGGGGGGGTCGGACCCCCCCCTTGATTTGTAGAATTATTAAATGTATACATGCATAATGAAGGAAATAAAAAATGCCAATATAGATATAAAGATTTGATTGCTTATTCTTTAATATGTGTATAGAAGATTCTTTTTGTATAGAATATTTATCACACTGTAATAATAATTTTATGAGTTTGTACAAGCCAGACGTCATAAGTCGCCCGCGTGGCGCAGTGGTTAGAGCGTCTGCTTTAGATTCGCGAAGTAAGGAGTTGATCCTTATGTCGCGGGTTCGAATCCCACTGTAGGACGTGGGGACCGGTCCTTCGGATGAGACCGTATAAACCGAGGTCCCGTGTCGCAGTAGGTGCTGGCACGAAAAAGATCCCTCACTGTTCAATGGCCGTAAGTGCCGAGTACGGGACAAAATTTGCAGCTCTCCACCGGCAAGTGGTGGCGTCTCCATATGAGTGAAAAATTCTCGAGAGGGACGTTAAACAACAAGCAAACAAACAAACAGACGTCATAACTTTTTCATTTCACATGCTGCACCCCTACTAATGTTATTGTGATTTAAATTCAAGACACGTAGAGTAGGTTGACCCATTCTAAGATTATAGGGTAGAACCGGTTTTATAAATAAAATTGGCAGTAAACAGGAAATTGCTATAATCTGTTTCTTTTAAAAACATGTCCTAGAAAAATGTGTTTCCAGAATTTTCTGAAAGATTTTTAAGATTTTAAACAGAAATGAGTGGGATTTAAAAAATCACAATCTACTTAATTAATCTTCGCTTTTGTGATAATTTACGGCGAAAATTGGAGCTTTATGGGTAATGTCGCGTGTAAAGGACTTAGTGCGAGCTTATCTCACTAAACAAGTACTGCTAAGCAGTATTGAAAAGCGTCTTTGATTGTTCTACAAAGTCATCGGCGCTTTGTTTGAGTCTCAAAATATTCTCTCATCAGTCAAACATGAAAGTTTTTTTTTTCACTGTTTTGCCCAATAATAAAAATTGACCAAGTATGTTTTAATTAGACAGTAAACCAAGCATTGCAATGCATTGTATTGTAGGGCAGTTATATTTTTATTTAAAAGCAAAATTAATTTGCTTGCAATTAAAGAACTTCACTCGACAATCCAATTTTCCTCGGGATGTTTCGCATATATCCATATCAGTCTTTCAATAAAAAAAATCAGCAAAAGTAACTGTTCTTTGATGAGAACTTAGCTCTAAGTACTGTTATCAGAATATATTCTCTTTATCCTTCCTGGTGCTTATCTGCATCACTCCCAAAATTTACACTTATCAGTCAAACACGAGATTTCTCTCTTTTTCAATCTTTCATATAAGAAACTAGGCGTTGCATAAAATAATAAACAGCAATGAAAAAATTTGTCAAAAACCCTTCGACATTATTACTGTATTGTTAATTTAGATTCGTATGAAAGAGAAAAATCATATAAAAAATGTAAATGAAAATATTCCATCCAGTCTGTTTTTCAATACTTTTTAAATAATGAAAATATATAAGAAAATATGTTAATTGACACCTTATTTTCAATACCATAATGTAAAACAAAAATGGATTTCATTTTATTGATTGACATTGTAGTGCAGTGCAATAAAATGCAGCTAAATTATATATTCTTATTTTGGTAAACAGTATAAATTCTCTTGCAAACAAAAAATCCACTCATCAGTCAAAAAGGAGTGTTCATTTCTTCTGGATCTTTTGCACATACTCAAACTAGTCATTCGATAAAAAAAAAAGCAGTAACAAAAAAAATTGACTAAGTTAATTTTGATTGGACAATATGGCAGACATCACAATGTATCGCAGTGTATTGCAGCAGCGTGCAGTATGGTGCAATTCTACTTGTATTTAAACAAGCACTTGTGAATGCATTGGAAATATTCCCCTCCTTCCAACCTCCAAAGATAGCTTTTATATACAATTTGTCCTTGTGATTGAATGTTTATTTGGAAATTTGCATAATGTAAGTTTTGTTTCAAAGTTCGATGACTCAAATTATGTCCCTTTGAACAACGTAGACAGAACGATCATTGATTTCTGCTTTAAATTATGTAAATGTTTAAGCAATGCTAACGAGTAACAGGCTTGTATACTATATATAAGATATTAGATAGACATTCACAAATGACCATGTATTAAAGTCAGAGTAAATAACGGTTACGGGTAATGTCGCGTGTAAAGGACTTAGTGCGAGCTTATCTCACTAAACAAGTACTGCTAAGCAGTATTGAAAAGCGTCTTTGATTGTTCTACAAAGTCGTTTGCGCTTTGTTTGAGTCTCAAAATATTCACATACAGTCAAACAGGAAAGTTTATATTTTTTCACTGTTTTGCCCAATAATAAAAATTGACCAAGTATGTTTTAATTAGACAGTACACCAAGCATTGCAATGTAATGTATTGTAGGACACTTGTATTTTTATTTAAAAGCAAAATTAATTAGCTTGCAATTAAAGAACTTCACTCGACAATCCAATTTTCCTCGGGATGTTTCGCATATATCCATATCAGTCTTTCAATAAAAAAAAATCAGCAAAAGTAACTGTTCTTTGATGAGAACTTAGCTCTAAGTACTGTTATCAGAATATATTCTCTTTATCCTTCCTGGTGCTTATCTGCATCACTCCCAAAATTTACACTTATCAGTCAAACACGAGATTTCTCTCTTTTTCAATCTTTCATATAAGAAACTAGGCGTTGCATAAAATAATAAACAGCAATGAAAAAAATTGTCGAAAAATCCTTCGACATTATTACTGTATTGTTAATTTAGATTCGTATGAAAGAGAACAATCATATAAGAAAATGTAAATGAAAATATTCCACCCAGTCTGTTTTTCAAAACTTTTTAAAATGAAAATATATAAGAAAATATGTTAATTGACACCTTATTTTCAATACCACAATGTAAAACAAAAATGGACTTCATTTTATTGATTGACATTGCATTGTAGTGTAGTGCAATAAAATGCAGTTAAATTAAATTCTTATTATGGTAAACAGCATAAATTCTCTTGCAAACAAAAAAAATCCACTCATCAGTCAAAAAGGAGTGTTCATTACTTTTGGATCTTTTGCGCATACTCAAACTAGTCATTTGATAAAAAAAAAAAATAAAAAAAAATAATTACACGTAACTTTGTGAAAGTCCTTCGACTTAATTACTGATTGTTAATTTTGATTCATATCAAAGAAAAACAAATATTTAAGAATACGAGAATAAAAGAAATGCTCTCTAGTCTGTTTTTGAAACCTTTTTTTCAAAGCATAAAATGAAAAAAGTGTGTGTATTCAATCAGTTTTTAAATTCAATTAAGAAAAAAAAATTGACTAAGTTAATTTTGATTGGACAATTTGGCAGACATCACAATGTATCGCAGTGTATTGCAGCAGAGTGCAGTATGGTGCAATTCTACTTGTATTTGAACAAGCACAAATATTTTACTTGTCAATGCATTGGAAATATTCCCCTCCATCCACCCTCCAAAGATAGCTTTTATATACAATTTGTCCTTGTGATTGAATGTTTATTTGGAAATTTGCATAATGTAAGTTTTGTTTCAAAGTTCGATGACTCAAATTATGTCGCTTTGAACAACGTAGCCAAAACGATCATTGATTTCTGCTTTAAATTATGTAAATGTTTAAGCAATGCTAACGAGTAACAGGCTTGTATGCTATATATAAGACGATAGAAAGATATACACAAATGATCATGTATTAAAGTCAGAGTGAATAACGATAGCCTTAGTAGTGTTACTTTTTTTCAAAATCGCCCGTTGCACTGGTAGAAAAAAATGTATATGACAAACCTTTGTTTACCTTATATGGCTTTTGTTATTAATGCGCACAGAGGATCTTACCACCCACAATTGACCAATCATTGCATGAATAGCAACGTTAACTCGACACCTATATGTTCACTTTTTCACTTCGAACACGTGGTTCAACTCAATCTACAATGAAGCGCATTGAAGTGGTAAAATTTTTCGTTTGACTGGAAAGTTTGGGTGCTTCTTATCACACGTCAATTGCTACACTGTACAAAAATACATGATTACGATACACGTACGATGTTTGACTCGCAGTGCCAATGCAATTTAAGAACGTGGTTATCTGTAGAACTATTAAAACATGAATTAATTGATATTCAAATTTCATTTGTAATTATCCTGAAGTGCGAAAAAATGGCTTGTCTCTTTTCATTCATGTGTCCATCGAGATCTAGAAGATAACTGATTGCACAAGCCAAACAATGGACCCTAATTAGAGTAAATTAACGGTTAAGCCTTAAAAACTGAAAATCGGTACATAATTTGGATGTTCATTTGATATATAATTTTTTATATTCATCTTACTGAATACAGTGATCTTGCTGTGGCGCTAAAATTTTGACTGTGGCGGAACTATGGCGCTGATTTTTTTTTTTTTTTTTTTTTTTTTTTTTACCGTGGCGCTAGGGAATTTAACGCTGGCGGAGTCAGACGGCCCATGGAGAACCATGCTACAGAATGACACGCCTTTTTCTTTAGAAATAAGAAAGAAACATTCGTTGTACTGCTTTAGGTAGCCCCACTCTCTGCGACTAGAAACATGAATTACACTGAAAAGAAGATTTTATAAAGTTAGAAGAGAGAGTTAGAGACACCGATTTTGCATATAACGCGTATTGCAACGAACATATACATAATTATTAATTTATCATGTTTATTGGAGTTACCAAAACACATGTATCGGTCGAACACGTGTTTACTTTGTGTTTATGTTACCAAAACACATGTATCGGTCGAACACGTGTTTACTTTGTGTTTATGTATAGACTGTCAATTTGATTGGCTATTATATTTATCGAATACCTGTTCTACAGGTATTGGAATGAATCATTTGAGCGTTGTTTTTACTTTCTAAAGAAATAGGCTTGTCATTATATGACAATCAAGGTTCTAAAGAAAGCTCAAAACGTTCCATTCAAACGGAGAATTTTACCATTTCAATGCGCTTCATTGTATGACGATATCAAATGGACTGCAAAAAAAAAAAACAATTTAAAAAATGTTTATCTGAAAAAATACAAAGAGTAGAAACTATAAAAGATGCCACGGGTGTTTGTAATTTGTTGCATAGTTGTTAACTAGAAAATGTATATAAAAAATGTACCCTGTGCCACGTTCAGAACACTAGCGCTTCAAGGTTAAGGAAAACGAGCAGCATCCCTTAGGCATTTAAACAGTTAACTGGTTAAATGGACAACAAAGGGTTTTTTCATATTACAATACCCGTGATCACCTGTATTTGTCAGGGAACCCTGGCCTGACAATTGTATTCACCGATAGTACAACAAAGGAATGCAGACGAAAATCGCCTTAGTTACACAGTGTTACAGTATATGACTTTGAAAAACCTAGAACTCTACGTTTATTAAACGTGTTACAAATGAATTGTTTGTAATTGTGAGCATGGAAATAATAGAATAAAAATGGACAGCACGGAAAAGCATGCAAAAGCATGAAAAAAAAATGTCCACGGGAAATGACTCTAGACTGGCAAGAATGACTCTAGAGTAGGATTACCCCTAACGAAATCCCACATCAGATTCAATTTTCCCGGAGGAAAACCTATTGACTAAGACTCTCTTTAACAGAATGCAGTTTCACCCAAAGCCAATTATCCCCAATAAGATAACATGCCTATACTTATGCATGGGGGCACATTGTTACATGTGTGTTTTCTTTAATTTTCCGAAATTTTCTCTCGCCATTGGCAGTCCTAATGAAATTTCTATATATCTATCTATGTCTATATATCTAAACTATAATCAAAAAGTCTAGTTTGTATTCAACATTTAAAATGTTCAAAATGACGACCAATTCCATTAAAAGATACGAAGTATGAAAATTGCAAATTTTAAATTTCATTTTTCTCAATAAGTGCCCAAGCAATTCGCTTGAAGCATTAGTCTTATTCTTTTTGGGGGGTCAATCTGGTTTCTAAAAATTAAAATAAAATTACGGAGCTATGTAATCGATTGGACAATTTTTAACTGTGTCCATGAAAACAAAATTAATAAAGAGGCATTTTAATAAAAATGGATGTTTTTTCTCATATTGTATTTCAAATAAAGCACACAGTATTGATATGTAAGTTTCTCTCCAAGTTTCTGGGGTTTAAATATTCAAAATAGCTACCGTTGCAATGGAAATAGAAATGGTTTAACTTCTGAAAGAAAAATTTAAATTGTGCAAAACATTAAGACAGTATTTGCTCTCTGCTTTCAAATCCAATATAAATATTACACTGCTGGAGTCGAGGGGACATGCTTATCCTACAGCTTGCATACTCTTTTAGTGTTCTTATATTTTTTTCTATTATAAATAAGATGACATTCATATAAACTTTAAGCATAAATGTTGTCGATATAGTTTTAGAATTGATAAGAAAATAGGAGAAATCCTACTCTGAGAAAGAAAAAGGGTGAAATTTGACTAGTGTGAGACCCCCAGAGGGGTACTACTCTAGAGTACAGATTTCAGGAGGGTGGCTATGGGGAAAATCCTACTCTACAACACAGGTTTTGAAACTTACACAGCGACCAGCAGAGAACGGAAGCTAACTCTCTAGTTTTCTGACGTTATTTTACCCTTTCCATCAACATCAATATAGCAAGTGGGATCAAATTTTAAGGGTCTTTCCAGGTCTGTGGTTTATGCTGGTGAGCCCAGGGGTTAATTACGACTATCGTGCTTTTAGAAATGTCGTATCCTCCTGAGGCGAAATGATTATTTTCTTTTTTTTTTTTTTTTTTTTTTTTTTTTTTTTTTTTTTTTTTGCATTGCAATATTAGAATTACGTTTTCATCTCAAAGGAAATAGAGAAACACAAACGATGTACCTATCATTCATTTTTGTTTATTTCTATCATCGTTTGTGTTTCTCTATTTCCTTTGTTTTTATGACTTCTCAACTCTTTTCTTTGTCCTGAGGAAGGGACAGGTCGTCCCGAAAATTTGACAATTATTATTCTTCGTGTCGTTGGTCATTTTTAGTGCTTTATATAAATTTCCATCCGTGACCTTGTATCTACTTAGTAGATCCGACACTTAGGATATACAGTGTTGTTGGTTTTTAGTGCTTTTTATATCCTTTTTTACGCCAACTGTATCTTCTCAGATCCACCCGTATATCCATTATTTCTCTATTCTTATTTTCTGTACCTATTATTCATTTTTGTTTATTTCTATCATCGTTTGTGTTTCTCTATTTCCTTTGTTTTTATGACTTCTTAACTCTTTTCTTTGTCCTGAGGAAGGGACAGGTCGACCCGAAAATTTGACAATTATTATTGTTCGTGTCGTTGGTCATTTTTATTGCTTTATATATATATATATATATATATATATTTATATATATATCCCTTTATGTGTTCACTTATTGTATTGTAAATATTTGGGACGAGGAGGGGAACAACATTTTTCACATTTAAATTCATATAATTATCCATTTTTAAATGCCTGTTGAATTGAAGGGGAATATTAAATAGCATCTAATTGACACTTCTATGTCAAGAAAAATACATGTCTTCTATTAATGAGGATTGACCTAGGATAAGTTACCGGCAGAGCACTGAACGAATATTAAAGATAACATTCTCTGAAAGACAAGATTAACAACGGCGAAAAAAAAAATATCCCTCATGGCTAGAAAGAATTTCTTCTTAAGCATGTTTACCCGTATACTATTAAATCAGCAAGGCCTGTAAGTCTTTTTCTTGACTTATACATGTTTTTAAAACATAGATGTATCTAAACAAAATATTTAATTATGAAATGTGAACAGTAACCTTGCTCAAATGTGCAACTCAACAATACAAATTGTGAGCAGAGCAAACACGGACCTCAGAAAACAGTCATTATCTATTCAATCAGGTGCACAATCAAACAGCATTTCCTTCCATATGTCCTCATATGACTTCATTATATTGTTCTTTTATTCTCATGGAGCTTATTACAAACAGATCTATATTTTTGAAATATTGAAATGGTTATAATAATTGCATAAATGGAAGAATATAAACATTACCTATCATTACAAGCTAAAAATAGTTATTTGAATTTAAAGCTTTTCTGGGTTTTTTTCCCCAGATATTTACAGATATATCTTCATTTATATGTACATGTACCATGGTGTCCAAGCTTCAATTCCTGATTCTTTCCTTCACGACGATTTTATAATCCGATGGGAGTTCTATACCAAATCCTCTCATATTATACTCTGGATTGGCCTTCACGCCATCTGGGAGGCGAATATCAAATCGCTGCAGTAGGTTTGCACACATCAGCAGGAGTTCCGGTTTAGCGACTGTTTCCCCAAGACAAACACGCCGGCCAGCTGAGAAAGGAAGCCAACTTTCTGGTTTTACTGGCTTCATTTTGCCTTCTTCATCAAGGTAACGATAAGGATCGAATTTCTCAGGGTCTTTCCAGTATTTTGGGTCTAGATGAAGAGCCCATACGTTAATAGCAACTGTGGTGCCTTTGGGAATGTCGTATCCTCCTGTTTAATAATAATGATTGTACATAGTATATGAAATAGAGAGAGAGAGCTCAAAATGATTTTTTGTAGTACATGTGGTATATGTATTTCATTATTAAAGTTTTTCTAATAAGAAAAACTTTAATAATGAAATATCCTAAAAATGATCATTTTTAAGATATTAAGAAATCAGTTGAGACCACATGATGCGATCGACACATGGAATTGTACTGTGCATAGCGTATACTTGAAAATGGTAATAATATTACTGTGTTGGTTATTAACAATAGATGTCATTTCAAAATAGGAAGACAACTCATTCAGCTTAAGCTATTTATTTTAGAAGTGAAGTCTACATTTAGAACAGCATTTCAATCATTTTTTTTTTCAGATTTTAGTGCTTGTTAAGTCCAGAAATATCAATGTCACAAACACCCAAAGAAGAAGAAAATTGCTTTGGAAACTGATTAGATGAAAGTAAAAATAACTTACCAACTTGTGTATCACAAATAGTCATATGAGGGACACCAAGTCCTGCAACGTTTCCGAGCCTCAAAGTTTCAAACAAGCAAGCCTCTGTGTAGTCCAAGTTGTTACGGTCCTTCATTGATGGATGTCCAGAACCTGTGAAAGATAATTTACACGACAACAAACTCAAACATTTTTTTTTTATTTCAGTTCACTTTCTAGTGCTTGACAAGAAAAAAAGAAACAAGCAAGTTACTTCAATCTTACCAACAACCCTGTCAATTTCCTCCTGGCATTTGATTTGAATTTCTGGAAATCTGGTCATGAAATATACAAACCAGTCCATTGCAAATCTAGTGGTATCAACTCCAGCTGTAAACGAATCAAGAAAAGTAGAATTGTCAAACTCATCATTAAATCTGAACAGGATCCTTCAATTCGCATTATAAACATAGGTAATCAAAGATTACTAAGCTCACCTCGACGAATGTTATCTATAAGTAAGGCAAATCACACATCATATTTTTTTTCTAGTTAGTGTACATCCATCAATATTAGACTTAAAATCCAAAACAAGTCTGGAAGTGTCCATCTCTATATATATCATCATCCATGCTAATTTGGTTAAAATATGGCTAAAATTCACTCATGTGGAAAATCTAGGTCAGATCCAGAATCAGAAGCAGGTTAGTTAGTGTACATTCCTAGATGCATCATCCATGCAAGTTTGGTCCAGGTAGGGCTTACAGTTCTGTGGGAATGGACCTGCTCCAAAAAGAACTTTAATCTGGTCACTCATCTGGAAAATCTAGGTCAGATCCAGCATCTGAAGAAAATATGGTAGTGTATATCCCTAGATACATTATCCATGCAAGTTTGGTCAAGGTAAGGCTTAAATAATCAATTGGGAATAGACCTGCTCCCAAACCTTTAAACTAGTCACTCATCTGGAAAATGTAGGTCAGATCCAGTATCTGAAGCAAGTATGGTAGTGTCCTTCCTTTGATGCATCATCCATGCAGGTTTGGTCCAGGTAGGGCTTATAATTGGGTACCTGCTCCAAAAACTTTAACCAGGTCACTCACCTGGAAAATCTAGGTCAGATCCAGCATCCGAAGCAAGTGTGGTAGTGTCCATCCCTAGATGCATCATCCATGCAAGTTTGGTCCAGGTAGGACTTATAGTTACTTGGGAATGGACCTGCTCCAAAAACTTTAACCTGGTCACTCATCTGGAAAATCTAGGTCAGATCCAGCATCCGAAGCAAGTGTGGTAGTGTCCATCCCTAGATGCATCATCCATGCAAGTTTGGTCCAGGTAGGGCTTATAGTTACTTGGGAATGGACCTGCTCCAAAAACTTTAACCTGGTCACTCATCTGGAAAATCTAGGTCAGATCCAGCATCCGAAGCAAGTGTGGTAGTGTCCATCCCTAGATGCATCATCCATGCAAGTTTGGTCCAGGTAGGGCTTATAGTTATTTGGGAATGGGACTTGCTCCTAAAACTTTAACCGGGACGCCGAACGCCAACGCCGGGGGTATAGCATAAGCTCATCTCGACTTCGTCGAGGTGAGCTAAAAAAATGAGTCTAAAGATCTATTTCCAACCAAAAGAAATGATATGTTTATTTTTTTTTTTTTTTAAGAAATCGAATAATTCTTTAAAACTTTCATGTAAATTTAACACCCAATTACATTTTAAGTATTTTCATGAAGGAATAAAGAAGCTTCAAAAACTTCTTTCTATGCCTTACATGATAATTTTAATATAATGTTAAAGGGTTTTGTTGAACAATTCCTTTAGTTTTTATATAAAATTCAACGTTTCATCTCGCGTTTGGACTCGTCAGAAACTGTCATAATACCCGCTGTGAGGCAAGTAATGTGATACTTTGGAATAACTTTTATAAAGAACTTTGGCATCTTGCAAAAACGGTTCTATAGAATTTTCAGTTATTCCTTCCTTTAAAGGTTAAATGGAAGAATTTTACTCGTCTGGAACATGTAATCTGACCTTGATTAACCCTGGGTCAAGGTCAGGACCAACCCTAGAATCACAAGCAACTTTTGTGTCGTGTTCCTTAATAACGACGTTATATCTGAAACAATATTAAATTCTCCTACATACGTACTATGACCCGGACCTCGTTTAAATGACACGGCAATTTTCTATCAAGCATGAGTGTTTAAGGTTCGTCGACAAGTTTTTACTCTTTTTATGCAATTCTAGAAATTTCTGCACGATGAATGTTTCATTATACCATTTACACATATTCCAATGTTATATATAATTTTTGCAATATAGTTTATTAATGGTTTAAAGATTCCTCCATAGAAAAAGAGTTGCAATTGTTGGAAAAGTATAGGTATAAAAAAATCTGATATGAAAAATTCAATTACCTTAAACATAAGACTGAGAATTACTTACCAAAAAATATATTTGATATGGTCTGAACAAGGTATGTATCATCCAACCTCTCCAACGCTGCTTCGTCTCCTTCATTCTCAGCTTCCTGTCTGGCCATCAGCAAGCTGTCGATAAAGTCCCTGTTTTTATCTAGAAAAGATGCATGAATATTTCTAAACAATGAATTACTGGTATACATCATTTGTGTCTTAATTTCAAAACAGTACAAGACTTAGTGTGTACATGCATCTACTTGGAAATATTCCGTTATAATATTTTATCACTCTTTAATAGATTATTTCAAAAATCAAAAAATTAAATATAAAATGGATAACCTGGTGAGAAGGTATCCACGTGTTGTTTAAATTTAGTGTGAAGCTTTTGAAGAATTTCTTCGATCATTTTATTGACTTTCTTCCATTTAGCTGTGGGGCAGATATCTTTCAGATATGGAATTATATCCTCTAGGAGACCAGCGCCGAAAAGGTCGAGGAGGTCGTTATCTAATTTGAGAAAAGCTTTCACTTCCGGGTCATCGACAGGTCGCCTGTTCAAATATATCATTACAAAGTTTATTAGAAAAAGAAATTTGAAGTCCTACATTGCCAATTGTAAACTAAGTTCGGTAAACTACAAATGCCTTCATCGACAGTAATTGACCAACTTAAATACTCTTTAAGAAATACTTGGGTCAAAGTCTGTTTTGATATACAGCTGTATAGAGATAACAGATATTGGTAGAGGTCTCAGTCAAAACAGCACTAATCCTCCATTATCTGGACAAAATTGTAAAATTCATTACAAGTGAAAAAATGGAAATATGTATCTATCTTCCCTTTTTAATCGACCTCTATCAAAGTTAGGAAAAGGTTCATCTGTCTTAAAAGGGGGGGGGGGGTATCAGGGACTTTAACTCTAGATTAATGTAATGACAATTGAAATACTTTTTATTACAATTGAAGGATTTTTAAAGATACAATAATTTACAATCCAATTATATAAGCAATCTAGCCCGATTACTACCATCGTGCATAAGTTGGCTTCCTAAACATTTTAAAAGAATAATTAAGATTTCAAGAATGAAGTTGTATATTTTTTCAGTTATTGACTAATTTATGCACACACAAGAGCCTGAACGCCAGAACTGTATTTGCCATATATCCAATACTTATTGAATTGAACATATTTTATTGCAATATATATACAATGGGATTGGGTACAAGTTCTTAAAACTTATTTCGCCCTCTCCCTAATACTCCCAATACTTATTCATATAGTTTGTGAGAAAGCAGCTTCCAATATACTTACTTTTCTCCGAAACAGATAGTGTAAAGTTGATGGAAAACCATCAGATCAACATATTCTTTGAAAACAAATGGTTCTTTCTCCTCTGCCATTTTAGCTAGAAATTTTTCTGTGTTGTCTTGTATCATATTTTCAAGCAGATCCCCTTGTAAATAATGCCTAAAAATTATATATCTGACAGTTTACGTATTGTGGTCATTTTTTTTAATCAATACCTCAACGGCTTACAGTAACATGCATAAGCATAAAGAAACTATCACTACTTGCATTTGCTCTCTTAGGTATAATAAATGAAATTTATAAGAAAAGTTTCCATACTTTAATGACGAATTAGTTATCATTTTTTACTGTTAACATCATTAAGGTGAGTGATTAAGAGGATGACTCGTGCAAAATGTAATAACTCCAAAACGTCAATAATTTGGACTATTTGGCTCAAATTTTTAACAATATATGATTTTCAAATAAAATTGATATACGAGATGTGATCAATCCTTCAAAATATTTAATTATTTTTACAACTTTGCATGGAAGGAGCTTCCTAACCAAAGCATCTCCAAAAGGCCAGGGGGTTTCGATCTGCTCAACTCCCAACATTTGTTAGGAGCGGCTTCAAACTCCTTGACTTGCAAAGATGATAATCACCTTATACAAACTGATTTCTCAGTGGTTTTCTCATATTTACCTTAAAGCTTTGCCTGCTACTTTCCTGTGAAATTTCCATGTAGGTGAATAATTTGTAAACGCAATGTCTTTTCCTCCTTCAGTAAATACTTCACCTACAATTTCCAATTTACACGAATTGGTCAAAATTGATTATTTTATGCTGATTGATATGATTTTTGAAAAAAAAATTATAATTATAAAGTTTTATTGTACCTGAATTAAATTTTGGTCTCCCAGCAAAATCTGCCTTCTTTTTCACCATTGCCTCTAGCACAACGTCATTATTATTCAGTATAATCCACGTCTGAGGTCCTGTTTGGATTTGTAAAAAAAAAGAAGTAAAAATTGAAGCCTGTATTTTGACGCTGAATATATATTTGAGATAAACAGGTGTCCGCAAAAATATAGATTTGTGTTATATCCTCCCCAAAGATTCCAAATATGATTTGGGAAAACCTGATTTCAAACTTGATTACATGCTGCAGAGAAGGTGTAATAATGAAGAAAAATACAAATGAATGAAGTCGCTTATTGTACTGTAATTTCTTAATGATCTTGTTTCCCGGGGATTTTGTCTCTGATTCCATGATTTAGACAAAAATATTGGTTATTTCAAAAGAATTTAGGCGCATAGAAATCACAGAAGCAGATGACACCTATCTGTTCGCTCTGAAATTTGAATTTAAAATTTATTTACAATTACTATTACTTGGTTGCATCATGAATTAGACAGTTTTTACCTCACCCCATTTATCATTAGTAACAGACACTAACCAAATGAGAGGCGTAGGACTGGACCATATTTCTTAGATAGTTCTGCGGCCTTCTTGTGAATCTCAACTGAGCTGTAGACTGAAAAAAATAAAATTTCGGAGAATGTTTTTACAAAATTTAATGGCTTTTAATATCATTCTCTTTATTCTTCAGATATTTTCAATGCCTAGTAAATTATTTTCATTATTTACATGTTTAAGCAATAGTTTCAAAAATTTAAAATATATATATCTTATTTATATTGATACTTCAATGTCAAATCTAAAGTAGAAATAAGCATCCAGTCCCTTTCCCATACCACAGTTCTAACTTAACTGAACAATTGTGTTTATAATTAATTTCGAAAACACAACACAGAAACCATTTTTAGACAGTAATTATAAGATTTAGAGGCTATTTCTGGGGGGAAAAAATGTTACCTTGATAATGTCCAACAAGTGGTATGCACCAGGGACCTGGTGGCAGGCGATATCGCATTCGTTTGATGACGTAATACACCAGAAGACCAATGGTAAGTCCCGCCAAAATGGTTTGTACATTTAGAGATAAAATAGCCATGATGTTGAATTGAAGTTTTTCTTCTCTTTCCCTCTCTAAAAGAAATTTTTAGAAACAATTAAAACTGAAATGCATTTTCTACATTTTTAAAAGTCAAACGAACTTTTTTATATTGTAACGTTTAATAATTTGCATTATTTTGCTATTGCAGTGTATAGGATTTAATTTGATTTTAATCAAAAAAGATTCCGATGCAGGCCTCCAAATCCTCATTGTTTTTTTTGTTTTTTTTTTTGTCATTCTTCTCTCTTCCACATCCACTCTTCCCCCTTCCCTTCTCATTTTCCCTCATTCCTTTTTTTTGTGCATCCCAGTGAACCCCCACAGAGTCTGACACATCTGTTTCATATTTATATGTTTCACTAGAGAAAGACATTGATGGGAAACTGACATCTATACTTTATGATAAACGTGATGACTTCTGTTATCAGCTTCCTTTATTTATGTAGCAAAATACTATTTTCACACACGCTATTGGCAAATAAGTTGATGATACAAGGATATCAACAATCTCTCGTTTCAAGTCAACATTTCACATAAATTATTTTATGGTCGATACAATGACCTTCTTTACAATTTAATACAATCTGTTGATAGGTCGAATATTGACTGACATATCTTTCATATAAATTTTCACGCTGAATTGACTAAGGAATTTTTCCGTTTACCCGATCGTGACAATGAGAACATGGCGGGTGTGACCAGTCTGTAGGAGATGCTTATTCCTTCATGGCATCTGATCCCAACTCCGATTTTAGATGTCTGTATTTGCTTTGCTCATACTTTGTATTGCTTTAATGGACTTTTGAGAATGGCTACTGTTTGTTATCTCCACATTTCATTTCTATAAAAATGTGGGCTTTAGATCTGAATTGTGAACTGCGAACGTACAACTGAAGCATGCTACCACTGAAGTGACGAGGAGCGTATCTTCATGTGTTTTTAGATTGAAAAAATATAAGTCGACATTTTATTTTTTTTTCTTTGCCAGAGCTTCAAAATTGTTAAGGTGAACTATTATAAACGTGCGAAGATAAATCAATTTTAATATACATATACTCAGTAGTATTGCTGTGCCAAAAATCAAACTGAAGGAAGTGGCAAGAACAGAGTAGAGAATGAAGAGAACAAAAGACAGAAAAGTTATTCAACCGACACACAAGCGTGATATCGATCGTCCTGCAAGGTTTATCTATATATGTCACGTGTGAGGTTACTCGAGGTCTCTTGTCTTATGAATGGAATTTGTTTGTACCAGCGTTCTCTTATAAATGCTGTTTCCATATATATATGGAAATAAATGAAAATTGAATTTTCCCTACAAATATCAGTAATATTTTTGATTTAGATATTCAAAAATACATACACAATAAGCAATTAAGCAATTCCTTAATTTGACACTCTCAAAGAATGATTTCAACAAAAGCTAAGACGAAGGAATTATGTTTCATGTATTTAAAATGACAATTTCATTTACAATAAAACTTACTGTCTTTCACATTAAACACAGTTTTAGTATATTCTTTACAGGGTTAATCCTGATCCAGTTGAGCTTCCATACAAAACCTCAATTATATTGTGAAATAACAAAACATGCAAAACTTACCAGCTAAGCAAAACACTGCAAAGAGTGAAATAGTGCACGAATATTGCGAGGTTAATGCTCCTCAATGTGCTCCTGTTCTAGTTCACATCAAAATGAATCAAACGTACTTTAATTTTTAAAAATGCGGAGATTTGATGTTCACCAATTCTAGTACTCTGACCCTTCCGATGTCTGCGCAGTGTAAAAATATAAAGCTGGAACACTTACCTCAAAGGAGCGGATTCAGGATTTCTAATTCACACTGCAAACGGTCTTCCTGTCACTAGCTTTTAATGGGTTAGCTCTAATCAACAAGATTTTAGATTTTTTTTTTTTAGAATATAGATACACAGTCATGAAAATAAGTTATAGTAAGAGTTTTTTTCCTGCTTTAAGAATATATAGGATATCCATGAATTATAGAATTATGTAATGGATATATGCCGAATACTGTTCTATATGTAAAATTATCAGACTGTTTGAGGCCCGTTAGGGCCGAAAACAGTCTGATAATTTTACATATAGAATTGTATGAGGCATATATCTTACTTAAAACATTGCTATTTAAATGTCCAAAAGTTACCTGGAGGAGTCCGATAATTAGGAGTTCAGGCATCAATAGTTTTCTACCTGAAACCATCTAATAAGTTGACAAAAAAAAGAGAGAGTTTTTTTTCCTTTAGACAGAAAAATCAGTGAGTTTACTCTTTTGTTTCATTCATTCAATGGCAGTCGTTTGGCTTAGCAGGAACTATGGACAGTAGTCAGGTGATGAAGGATTTTTTTATGATTCGGAATTTTTTTTTTTTAAGTGCTTTGACATTGATACAGATACAGTGTTGGATGATATCTTCAAAGTGCATTTAAAGTAAAAATGTGGACTTTTATCAAAAATTTTGATTGGATGAAATAATGAAAATCTTGGGTTTTAAAAGTGCGGTCATCATGGTAATTGGCGAACAAACCTCGTTAAATGAAGAGATTCGCAGACAGGTTCTTTATCAGAAATGGATTTAAATTGGCAAATTCACAGTGCTGTATCGAAAAAACTTTGCAAAAAAAAAAAAAAAAAAAAAAAAAACGAATGGAAAGTGTTACTTTTGAGGAAGGTTAAAACTCCAGTTTCTTCTTGGATTTGCTATTTTAACAACTTAATTAATTTCCTCGCGTTCGCTTTCCCTGAATTTTTTCTCCCTAACTTTTTTTTGGTTTCTGGACAAATTAAACCTTGATTTCACTCTTCTTGTTGTTTTTTAACTACTGTCCGATTTTGTTATCACTGCCGTCCGATAATATATTATTGGACTGCTAATTATTATTATCGGACGGCTACAGGTAAATTTTTAGACTGCAAGAACAAAGGCATGACGTCACAGCAATGTTTATATACAGTTTATTTCAGTGAGTAAAAGCAAGGTTTATAAAATAGCAGATATTATAATATTGCAGAAAAATTATTGCAAAGTTTATAATTTTCTTCTTCTTTTTTTTTTTTAATATATCCATAACTTGTGCAGAATCAATAATCTTAATATATTTCATGGGTATCCCGGTCTTTCCACAACTTAAAAAAAAATAAATAAACTATGTATTTTGAACCCAAAATTTATCATATGAATTTAAAACTATCCCTCAAGTTGGCTAATACAACATTGTCCCCGTTAAAACACCCCTTTTTGCAGATTTTCGGCTAAGAAGTCTTTCAGTCCAGGCCTGCCCCTAAATAAAATTATAATATTTTAATAGATTGAGACCTAAGAAATATTGTAAAACAGGATTTAATAAGGGACATCATTGTCCTGGGGTCAAAAATCCCCCCCCCCCCACCAAAAAAAAAAACTACAACAAATAAGGAAAGCCGTTGTTATTGGCAACCTGGTTTGTATTTATACCGCTTTATGCTCAGACGATTTGTCCGCTGGCTTTAGAGTCAATTTTTAGAGACGTGGTTCGAATCTACCTGGCGATACAATTTTACAGTTTTAAATACTCGTCTTTTCAAACACTATTCTATAGAGGTTTGTGCATTATTATTCAATTATCTATCTTTAATGAACGTTCATTTTTTATATTAAAGGCATTTAAGAGAAAGTTACACTAAAGTAATATAGTAACAATAGCCACATAAGGTAAACATTTTTTTTTCAATGTAGTAGATATTACACTTTTTTTAATTACTTCGGAAGAACAATCGCTATAGAACTCTCTCTTCGCCATAAATTTTCAGAAAAGCGAAAGGTAAGTAGCATGCGATTTTTTCACCGCCACACTTTCCTTTTTTTAAATCATGAAGATCTATCAGAAAGTCTGGAAAAACATTTTTTCATTGTATATGTATTTAAAAGAAACAGACTATTACAATTTCCGGTTTATACAACCGGTCTTTTGAATGGATCAAACAAGACTACTTGTCTTGAATTTAAATCACATTAATATAAGTAGGGGTGCAGGAATTTTCGTCTGCAATGAGCTGCGATGGATTTCCATGGTATATACTTTTTGTTTAATTTGATATCCATAACCAACAAAAAATACTATAGTTTACCATAGTTAACTAAGGTTTACTATGGTATCAATGCTTTTTTCCATAGTATATCAAAGTTTTTGCTATAAAAGTTAATCAAAGTATTTTTGCTGTGGATTTCAGATGTTAGATTTTATGTTCTCAAATTCATACATACATACACTAGACAAAATTGCTAACGCACCACTTATTATTCTTATTTGTGAATTGATCATTTTCCTGATTGGTACTAATATATAAAATATGCCATCTTTTCCAAAACAGTTGGATTGACAAATGTTTTGGTGTCATGTCAAGACCCTTAAAGGACCTTCTTGTCCGAAAACCAATTTCCCGACGTGCACTGCGCTCAGTTTTTGCCAAAATATGAAGTTGGTGATTACCGATGGTGGCCCGTGAGGTTGCGACGGGAGCAGTCTCCCACTTAAAAATCAAATGATATACCCTGATTGACTACCATATCGCTTAGTAGTAATCCAGTGCCTTGGCGTCCCTACCAAATCCACCCAACTTCCGGTTGCCCCAATTTTGTGGAACAATCTTGAAGTTATTGTGTGGTGCTTACTTAATGCCGTCGCTATCTATTGTAAACATTTTTATGATTGTTTATTCATTTTCAACAATCTTTCGTCAAAGATATGCATAATCTTTTAATTGTTTTAATTTTTCACGAATTTCTTCAAAGGAACCCCCTGCAAACACCATACTGGCTGCCTTAGCACGCTCTTCTAGAGTCAAACGCCGCATACGGTGTAACTTTTTTCCTGAGTTTTTAATTAGTACAAACATAAAGAACACAACCACAAAGAAAAATATTGAAATTTATTCCACCAAAAAAGTATGGACATGATTTTAATTTTTTCTATGAAGTGGTTACGCTTCAGTAAACATTGTTGTCATTTATCAGTTGAAACATTTAAGCGTCTCATTTTTTATTAAAGTAACATAATTATATATCAAAAACATCATAAACAAGTTTTGAAAAGAAAAATATTAATTTATTTAGGTGGGGCGTTAGCAGTTTTGTCTAGTGTATTTTTGATATTAAATGGAAATATTACTTGTATATTCACAAATTATTTCCACATTTTAGAGATTTTTTTCACTAAATTTCATTAAATTTTTTGTTTAAAAATTTTTCATAGAATCTGTGAACAAAAAAAATCTTTTATATGGAAGATTTCTATATCCTGCGTTAAAGGGAAAATAATGTTGCGTATGTTTACGAATTATAATTTGAAAAAAAAAATCAAATTTTCGTAGTAAAAATCTGAAAGCAGAATTATGAATTTTAATTTCACACAACCAGTTTGACTTGCCTTTCATACACTCCGAAAAATCTCGCAGAGATTCGAAATTGTCATCATTTGAGACGGTTGAGACGACATAGCTAAGTGATTGCGAGATTGAAAAACATTGTAAACATGGGTTTTTGGAAAAACTGGCAGTATAACTATTAGTTATATGTTCATGAGTTCATGATACTGTATTTTTTTTTATTATGATACATGTACGTCATCTTCGCTAGCCAAGGGTTTCTGATTCGCTACTCTCCTCATAAGCCCTTGGCATACGGTGTTAAAAAAAGTTGGGATTTTTTTCTCAAGTTGTGATTGGAGTTGATCGACATCGTTCGACCAATCAGCAATTGTTTTTTGTAAATGACGATATTTGCGTTCGGGATATATCTTGACTCTTTAATATCGGTAATGTAAAACGCAAGTAAACAATGATCCGTAAGATAACATGCCATTCTATGAATAGCTATATGGTGTCATCCGTGCAAAATATCAAGATCTATCCAGAGTTATCGTTCCCGCTACGCTCCACTTATACCTCTGTCAACGTCTAAAAAGTAGTACTGAAGGCGGAGACGCGTGGCCTTTATCACAGGAAGATTCTTCACTTTTCTGTATATATGTCAATGCTGCAAGTTGTTTGTCTTTAAAAATTAAACCATGTTGATATTTGTCGGCGATGCGTTTTAAATTTTCCACGTTCTCCATATCTGTCTACATGAGTGATGCAATATCCCGCTGAGAAATAATCCCTTGTAAAATACGGTGTTACTGATATATCTCATTTTAATTTTCATACATAAACTTTTCTTTAAATTTTAAAGCTAAAATATATAACTTTAAAATTTATTTTTTGTTATGCAATAGGCCAGGGTAAGTTTTGCCAAGAATCTTGGCATTTAGACGTTGACAGAGGTGTTGTAGCGAAGCGTAATACGCCCTCTGGTGAGAGATTGGCAAAATATGTGATTAAGAATCTATACTGAAGATGTAGATTTGCATTTTTACATGTTTAGATAACAAATTAACATAACTCGATACCTTCTTGTTAATTATTCTTTAAAAACATTTTTTTTTTTAAATACGCTTTTTATTTCTGTCGATGACGCAATCTGTGCGTACCTGGTAAGAATCATGATCACGTGACAAAAACAATCCCGTCTTTTGTCAGCACCGTATGCCAAGGGTTTATGAGGAGAGTAGCGTATCAGAAACCCTTGGCTAGCGAAGATGCATGTACGTATACACAGTTATATACCAAACAAACTGAACTTCAAGTCAATCGCATTTTCAGGAAATCGCAGAAAAACACCTCAAAT